GACTGACCATGTAGATTTCGGCGCAAAACTGACTCGACAGATCTCGAATATTGTGGCTACATATTGCCTGCACAATAAAGGTCCTTGGCGTTCCTGGCCAGAAAGCCTCTCTTGCGCACGACCTCGAAACGACTCGCGCCCTGCCACACGTTCCTGACTCGGGAGCGGCTGAGAAAGTGAGTCCGGTGGCAATGCCGCACGTTCGCGACCTGGGATTACTGGAATGGTGGGAGTACCATCGCCCTGCCACACGTTCGTGATTGCGGAAGCTGAAATGGTCCACCATTGCCATGCTCAGCCGGTTCGATGCTGTTGCTAGTCAACATAAGATGGTAGCAACTTCGGTTCGCAACTTCCCACAAATATTATCAACTTCGGCCTCCGCGTCTCTTCTTTTCCACAATTAAAACCTATTGACACGGGATAACAAAAAAAACTCAGGGGGGAAAGGGGGTACGTTTTATTATCGTGGGCACGGCGGGGCGATGTGCGCACGGATGCAGCTGCTCGTCGCACCGTCTGGAACTACTGGTCGCTGGAGCGCTTTACTACAGTGTCGATCTTTTGAATGAAGCTGGTCGTAGCCTGTTGGATGGCACTATGGTTGCCCTCCTTAGCGCTGACCCGCATCTCGTCGGACGGCGGTATCTGTAGACACCAGCAGGTGTCAGATAGGAGGCTCAAATTGACTGGCTCGATGGGATTCGTAGTAAGACACAGGCTGTCACAGGAAGAGCGCCGTCGACACCCCCGCCGATTCATGTAGGGCCAGCAGCAGCTTAGCTGCACCACTCGCCGGGGACATGCTTCAGAATGAGATCGGTGTAGAGCCTGCTGCCATTGTTGGCCGTCGCTGCCGGAGTCCGCCATGTAGACGTTACCCAGAAACTCCAGGCCGCTCATCGTCTCGTTGCTGGGGTTGAAGAACGGAGCTGCGTCGGTTGGCTCGAACTCGAAACCGATCCTCTGGTGAATCGTGTCCTCGTCCAGCCCCTCTAGCAAGCCCACGGTGTAGCGTCCTTGTGGAGAGAGGGTGGCTGCCTCGAACTCGCCCCCGTTCCAAGATACCACCTGCTTGGCGTAGCCAACGTGCGCCTCGAACTCCTCAAGCAATGGCCGAGAGGCTGAGATCGGAGTTCGTCACGGTACTACATCGATGTAGAGCGCCCCTGGCTTCTGCTTGAAACTGGCCTGCATGGTTCCACGCCGCCGCGCGCGCTGGACCTGACCGCCCCCGAATCGGAACGGCCTCCGACACTTGTCGGGATCCTGGATGGGGCGGCTTGTCTGCTTGCAGTCTGCCGCGTAGTCCTTGACCGTCTCCGAGTCCGACATGAGCGCGGTAGCTCCACAATCCATGACTCCGCTGCTGGCTGGGATCGCGCTGTTGCTCTTAGCCTTCCCGTCCAAGTCGGCCTCGTCGACCATGAGGCTCTCTTCGGGGTGATTCTCATTGGGAGGCTCGGCGCAGCCCCTGGCTCAGTGGCGTGGCTTCCCGCGCCGCGGGCAGTTGGCCGGCGGTGAAGACGTGGGAGCTGGCCGCTTAGTTGCCCTGGCTGGCCCCATTGGGTCTGGCCCGTCTGGTTGTGCTCTCGCATAGGCGCCAGGTGGTGGTGAACCCTTTGGGCTGCCCTTTCTTCCCATTGACTTCCCGCGTCCTTTGGAGCCTCTGCTGCTTGGCTTGCCTCGGCTGCCGGCGGCTCCAACTGGTGCTGCATTTGAACTTGACCCGCTTCCGACCATCGCCACGACTGGATAGAATCCTCGCGCTGACTTGAAATTCGTTGAACCGCTTCCTGGCGTCCACGTAGGCCGCGAAGACCTCGTCGTACTCGCCGGCTCGAGCTCGCGAGCCGCAATGGACTCGCGGTGGTAGCGGCTCTCGTCGCAGTCGCACCACGCGCCATCGCCCTCCGCCCAGCACCCCTGCTCGCAATCGTCCGTTGGCTCGCTCTCCGGTTCGACAGTGCGAGCTTCTTCTTCGTCGTAAAATCATTCCTCGTCGACGAACGATTGTCTCCGCACGTGATTCGGCTCGTGAATGGCGCTCCTGCACGAAGGTGGCCTCCAACGTCTCGATTACTTTGCCCTGATCGATGTCCGCAATTCAGCCGCCGCGTCGCGCCGCGAGCCACCCTCGCACCCGGGCGGGCAGCTGGGCGTCGCGCGTCTCGAGCTTCCGCTTTGCTGCTCGAACTCGCGAGAAATAAGCGAAGAGCGCCTCGCCCCTGCACCTCTTGAGCTTGTAGAAGTACTCCTCAAAATCGTCTGCGAGCTCGGTGCGATCGTCCATCCTTAACTCCTTCTGTAGTCGCTTCATGAGCACCTTCGCCGCGTTCGGCTCGATGAGGTCGCGAGCTGAGAGGACCTTCACCTCGTCCCAGGCCTCGCCGGTGAGTCCTGCTCTGAGCATGAGAGCCGCTTCGTCTTCCTTCTGCTCTATAGAGCGCTTCGCTATGAAGATCATCGCCAGCTTCTCAGACTCCTTCCATTTGCTGAGGCTGCTGTCGAACTGTGGAGCTCCACGCCCTGGCAGGCTGCCCGATGATGTCACCGTCTGGGCCGTCTGGCCAAAATCCGCACTGCAAGGGATCTACGAAATCAAACGTGAACCGCCATGAGAACACTCCGAAATCTCCCGCAAGATAGTCTACGAAATTGAGCGCCAACGGGTTGGCGAAACTCAACCGCAGAACCTCTATAAACTCGGACGCTGCGTGGTTTCCGCAACCGAATCTTAAAGACCGGTCGAACGTTGTCGTGGAAACGTCGCAGGAATATGGAAGGTCGAGACCTGAGCAACATGAGCTTGCATGAAACCAAATCGAAACGTGGCGAACCCGGCTCCGCGAGCAACATGAACTTATCAAAGCCCTCGCAATCGCTGGTGGCAACGAGGAAAGTCAGAACGAATCACGTCGAGATGTTTTCACACCGCTGCGCTGGTGTCAAGGGCCATGTCAAGGTGCGGGCCGAACGACAATGCGGCCAAGGCTGCTCTTCGCCCCCCGCTCGCGATGATAATGAGGTGCACGCCCTGCTGTTCTCTTGCCGTGCTGTCTACACAGACGTACAGCGTATACTTCACAACGGGGGTGCCGATGAATTCCTTTGGGAGCGGACGTCCTACGTGGCCCAACCCAACTTGCAAAGCTCGGCGTTGCCGCCCCACCCACCCGCCTAAGTCTTGCCTTGCACAGCCGATGCGTCGTCGACCGCGACGACTGCTTGGCCACGGCTGGCGCATCTCTGCGGCCGCGCTGGCGCGGGCAAGCCCGCGCGCAGAGCGGTCAGCGACCCTCGTGCGGCCGATGCGGGCGCGATGGAGTTTGCCGATGGGAACTTCCCAGCTCGCGTCGAAGGCCGCGCTGGCGCGCGGACGCTTCAATGTGGGTCGGTGGCTCGGGCGGCCGCGGCATCGCGACGACGCCGACGACAGCGGCGCAGCCAGTTGTAGCAGCGATGGTGGTGGCGATGGTGAAAACGACGGCGGCGCGGCCAATGACGGCGCCGATGCTATAACACACCAACAACGGATGATGATGAAATCCATGTGTCGCTGATGGTGTTGGAATCATTTCGCGACGCGCACGCGGCCGACGCGCGGGCGTGGCCCGCGTGAACTTCGTCGACAAAGATCGCGCCCCCCCGCCCCCCGACAACATCGCAAGGGCGTCCGAATGAGTTCGACACGCGCGCGCGAGAGGTCAGCGTGGTCACAATCGAAAGAAATGCCAATAAAACACAAACGGTTGTCGCAAAGGCCCGCAAGAGCGCGCGCGCAAATGTCTTGAAACTGATGCAGTAGAACACTCCTGTTGCACATCGGTGTTCGAGGACCTCGATCTGGAAGTCCATGCCATGACCATGGCTCTGAAGGGATTCCGACATGCGCGCGCGCGACGACGCACGCGCCTGGACTTCGCTGCATTGTGCGCAAGGGGGTATTATTGAACATGTATGTGTGCACATGTACAAACGAGAGCGTACGCGTGCAAATTATTCTGCACGGGCAGGGAATGGTCAACAACGGTACACCCAGAGATGGTGTGACTTCATATACAAAAACGAATGATGAGGCAACATCACATGTAATATGTGTTATCCCAGGGTGCACCGACAACTCCGGGCTCGTGAGGGTGGACGAGTCGAATCTCACCGTAGAAAGGAGAGAACATATGGTGCGATATATGTGGTGCTCTATATAAGTGATGTAAGCAACGTGGTGCACTCTATGTTCAGCAATATATGTGGTACACTCTTTGTGGTGCAGTCTGTGCGGCGCAATTCGCGTTGCAGAACTTCAAGTTATGAACCCTACTGGTCGGACATTCATCACACGTACCCACCCGCAGCTGGGCTTGCGAAACCCATTCGGCGGCGATTGCGACGACTGCTCGGCGCGGGCTGACGCATCGCTGCGGCCGCGCTGGCAAGCACAAGCTCGTGCGCAGAGAGGCCAGCTATTCTGGCGAGACCGACGCGGCCGCGGTGGCGCTTACCGCTAGGGAAGCACTCGGACGCAAGCCCGAGGTCATACGAGACTTATTCGACGCCATCGAGGGCCGTACAAATCGTGGGACAGAGGCGGGCCCCATCACTCTCCACATACAGAAAAAAAACGAAACAATGAAACTTGGAGAGTCCGTGAAAGTGGAAGTGGCAAGTGCTGGAAAAACTGGCAGGGTCTGGAACCAGCCCGACACAGTTGACATGAGGTCGCCAAGGCTGGAAAAATGAAAAGGAGACTGGCCAGGACTGGGACGAGTGGAAAGGCTGTCCCTGGCCACGTTCCCCAACTTCCCTGTTCCAAGCCTTCCCTCCCCCACCCTCCCCAGTGGGAGGCCTCCCCTTGAGGCCTCCGGAGGCCCGCGAGACATGCCTGAGGCGTTCCAAGCCCTCGGGATCATGCTTGAACCTGGAACCCCGAATCCCCAGAGGAAAAATGGGGGGGAAGGGGGGCACGGGATCGGTGGATTCAGCGAGGCACTCCCGCCCACCTCCGCGTCCAGCATCTCCCTCAGGAGCGACAACGCCCTCTGCCACTGCTCGCCCTTCTCGCACGCGCTGATGCCGGCGCAGTAGCTCACCGCGCTCCGCTCCAGCCTCTCCTCGGACAGCTCCGAGAGCAGGCAGAGAGCATGCTGCCATCGCCCGCCCTTCTCGCACGCGCTGATGCCGGCATTGTAGCTGACTGGAGCGGGCCCACCGCGGCGGGGCCCCGAGGGCCTGCGTGGGGCGGCACTGTAGGCAGTGCGGGCCCGCGGGATGTTGGGGCGCAGGACGCAGACCCGGCGGGGTTGGAGGAGGGGGAGGAGGAGGACGAAGAGGAGGAGGAGGAAGAGGAGGAGGAGGAGGAGGAGGAGGAGGAGGAGGAGGAGGAGGAGGAGGAGGAGGAGGGGGGGGGGGGGGGGGGGGGGGGGGGAGGAGGAGGACGTGCGCCAGAACCGCCGTCCGCTTCTGGCCACGGGTGCAGCTGCAACATGCTGCTCCTGCCTGCCGCTCTTCGGGCCCCTGCTGCCGGCGGCCGCTGCTGATGCCCCGCTCGGTGCTGCTGCCCGCTGCGGGTGTCTGTGCGCCTGTCCTGTGCTGCTGCTGGCTGCTGCTGGCCGCTCTTGGCAGGAACTGCTGATTTAACTGTCGCTTGTCGCTTTGGCTCCGTCTCGGAGGCCTCCAGGGTGGCTCCAAGGGTGTGGTTGCGATACCATTGAGAAAGGTATCCGCAACAAGACAGCTCGGATAGGGCACCGCTTGGAATCCCACGGTCGTGACGTGTGTTTGTTTCTCTTGCGGTCACGAGCCACGCTCAAACCGCTGAGGGCCTCTCCTGGAGCCTCTATCGGGCAAGATTAATCAACATCGAATGAGGGAATCGGAATGGATCGGAATCTGCGTCGGATCGAGCCGCATCGGCACGGAGTCTCAGTTGGATAGGCGTGCCCGCGCCAAGATGCACAACAACAATGCCATGTAAACGTCGAGACAGATCGGATCGCCAAAACACTAAAATCGAACTCGCCGGCCAGAATCGATATGACATCGGATCAATCGGATGGGGATAAGGTTCGATGGGGATAGCCCAAGGAAGTCTGCGAACTGGCGGGTCCGGAAGACGTGTTAGGCGCCACGGCCGTCTCAACTCGCTCCGATCGTGGCATCGTGTCTTTGTTGTTTGCCCACGGCGTCTGGGTATCGAGGACCCCGCCGAAATCACGATGCTGTGCTGAAACCTGCTGCGCCGCAGCGCCTCCACAGTTCCAGCTCCGCAGAACTCTTGCACGATTCGGCACCCTGGCTAACCCCGTTAGCGCTGGGCCTGGTTTCGCTGATACCGAGATGGGCGGCAAGCGAGGGGGGGAAGTGAAAAGAAAAAGGCCCTCTCAGAAGGTTCGGCCGTCTCCCGGCCTTCTGAGAAGTTTCTGAGCCCTCCCCGAAGACATTGAAAGACGTCTCGGAAGGCGCGAGGGCTGCCGAGGAGTGCCTCCGCATTCTGAGAAGACATTCTCCTTCTCAGTTCCCCCCCTTCGCCCGCCGCGGACGAGAGATCCTCATCCCCCCCCTCTGGGACGCCACCCAAAGTGGCACCGCCGGCAAGGCCGGGGTCCCTCGCCCGCAGGAGTGAAGGGGCCCTGGGACACACAAATGAATATGCACAAAGAACCAGACTCCCCATATTTCCCCACATTCTCTGGATTCTTGTCTTCCCCCCACTTCCCATATGTTCGCCTCTTGTTTCTGGGAGTCGGCGATTCAGTGCGTCCGTGTTTTTGTTATCCCTCCGGAGAGGGACGCAGCCAGGTTCTGGTGGCGGTTGCGTGAGCGCCTCTCCGCGTGGCCCTGGCGCCGCAGGCCGCCAGGACCTACTACATGGGCATGCCCGGCACGGAAGCAGGGGCCCAGGACGCCCAAGTGCAAGCCCTCTGGGCGAAGGATCAGCCGAGGATGCAAAGACGAGAAGGTGGCCTTTCGGGCCGACGGAAAGGAGGGGATAGGGAAAAGGGGGGTTACGAAATCTGCCGCATGCAGCTGGTTCCGGCCCCGCCGCCGGGCCCATCGATGGGCGCCTCCCGACGCCGGGAGGCGCCAGGAAAATCAGCTACGTGAGCTGATCCCCCTTTGCTATCCCGCCCTTTTGCCCGGCCCGAGCCTTGAGGATAGCTGCCCATTTTCGTGGTCCTGTTCGGCTGCCACAACCGCTGCCGCCGGATCGAGGGAGGGGCTTCGGGAGGTTCCGTGAGAGCACCTTCGCGGTGTGGCCGGGATGTTCCGAGGGACTGCTGCAGCTGCGTCGATCCGAAACGCGCCACCGCGACTGCCTTCGAGCATCAGCGGGGCAGACAAGGCCCCAGGGGAACTGGGAGCACACATTCTCGCGCTTCGCGCTGCGCAGGGCGCGCTCGCCCTCACGCCCGGTCCACCCTGGTCGGGAGGGCAGCGCGCTGCACGGCCCATCGAAGGGGCCCTGGAACACACACACACACACACAACAAAAAAAAAATAGACACAAATAACAGGACCCGCCATACTTCCCCATTTTTTCTGGGAGTCGACGATTCATTGTGTGTGTGGTTTTCCCCCTCCTGACCCGTGTGGGGACGGGTGACCTCTGGCAGGCCCGTGCAAGGCGCGGCCCCGTGCAGGCGCGATGAGCTCACGGAGGAGCTCGCCATGCACGGGCATGCACGGTCGGTCGGAAGAAGTAGGCGGAACCATGACGCAAGGAAAGCGGATATGGTGGATTGGGTCCTGGTCCTCCCAGAGAATAACAGAGAACAACAAGAGAAGTAGGAAGGCGCTTGAAGAAGATTGGGATCTGGGAATCCAACAATACCTAGTTTCAACGACCGGCGTGTGTGTGCAAGCGTTTTGTAGGCCGCAAGTCTCGAGCGCGCTGCCTTCAGTACCGATGCAGGAGTTATGGTGTTCCCATCCTGCTTAAAGACACCATCCCAGAAATGATTTCGAGCACCCGGAAAAGTGTCAAAAGAGTGTCGAAACAGTGTCGGGCAATTGTCTCCCAGGGCCCGACACGTGAAAACCCTTGAGTTTCGGTATTTTTTGGGGCGCTCGAAATTTTTCCTGGTGGTCAAGGCTAAAAGTAGGTTGGAACATCATAATGCAGGAGATGACGGTCGGCTCTACATCCGAGCGCCGCAATTCTCTCAACAGCTCTATCGCCTGTTGCCAATGTCCATCGAACGCGCAAGCGCTGATGCAAGCGTTGTAGCTGATGGCGTTGGGCTGCACACTGACTTGTCGCAACTCGTTCAACAACAACGACGCCTGCTGCCACTGACCTTCATTGGCGCATGCACTGATCCCAGCGCTGAAACTGATTACGTCAAGCTCAGATGCTGCTACCCGAAACTCGCTAAGCAACGACAACGCTCGCTGCCATTGCCCACCCTTATCGCATGCGCTAATACAAGCGTTGTAGACGACCAGTGTTTACCCAGACATGGCATTCACTCACATGCATCATTTATGTCTCTCTCTGTCTCTCTCTCTCTCTCTCTCTCTATATATATATAGGTATATATAAATTCGAATATCCATTCAAATAGATCCGAAAGACGCTTGGTGGGTTTGCGGGGGCCCCCGGCTCCCAAAGCCCTCAGAGAACCCCGAAACGGCTCCGAAGGGCCCCCGGAAGGGCCCGAAACGGCACAGGAGCTCCCCAGAAGAGCCCCGAGACGGCCCATAGAGGCCCAGAGACGACCCAAAACGGCTTGCAGGCGGTCCAAGATGTTCTCTGCACGGCCCCATGAGCCCCAAAGACGCCCCCGAAAGGGCTCCATCCAGCAAAAATCGTCGCAGCTCCTGCGGAAAATTAGTATTTTCAACAGACTTGGCTTATTGGTCTTCGAAGCGTCCAAAACGGCCCCCCAGAGGCCTCCAAGATCGCCCAAGATGGCCCCCAAGAGGGCCCAAAGATGGCTCCAGACGGACCCAGGACGGCCCAAGAGGCGCCCAAGACGACCCAAGAGGACCCCACGAGAGGCCCAAGGGGGGCCAGGACAGCCCCGAGACGGCCTATGGAGGCCCCGAGACGACCTCAGGCAGCCCACGCTGCTCTCCAGACGGCCCCATGAGCCCCAAAGACGCGCCCGGACGGTTCCAGGCGGGTCAAAGGGGTCCCCTGAAAGGGTTCCTTCAAGCTAAATTTGTCTCATTCCTTCGGGAAATTAACATGTTCAGCATATTCGGCTTATTGCTGTTCGAAGCGTCCCCAACGGCCCCAGAGGCCTCCAAGAGGGCCTAAAGATGGCTCCAGACGGGCCCAGGACGGCCCAAGAGGCGCCCAAGACGACCCAAGAGGACCCCACGAGAGGCCCAAGAGGGGCTCAGGACAGCCCACGACGGCCCCCCAAGACGGCCCGATAGTCGCCAAAGATGGCCCACGACGGCCCCAAGACGGCCCACGAGGCGCCCTGCCGGCCCAAGAGGGCTCCGAGAAGCCCCCGAGGAGCCCAAAACAGGCCCCCATAGAGCTCCCAAGCGGCCCCCAAGAAGCTTCAAAAGTGCTTCCAACAGAGGGGGGCGGACGAGAGGCGAGAGGCCCCTCGCAGGCGCAAACAAAGAGTGTTTTGACGCTCCGGCGGCTCTTGGGCTGCCCCGCTGCGCTCCCTACTTTGCCGCGTCGCCGTTCCGACGCCTCCGACGCGGCCCGAGATGGCGCCGCGTTTGCCCGAGCCCGCTCCCGCGTCCGCCGCGATCCCGGCGCGAATCTTCCAACGTTGCTCAGGCCTGGACTCCTGAATTTCTGCCTCTTGCGAAGCTCGAACACTTCGGCCCCCGCTTCGATGCATTGGGCGCCATCGGCGGGGGAACAGCACTAGAACGAGCTTCAAGGGATCTACGGCAGTAGCTGGCAGCGTCGCACCACCCAGCGCGCGCCACCATGCTTGTATCCGCCCAACTTCGTGGATTTACTCCACGGGTCCACACTAGTATATATATATATATAAATGAGAAAGCGCGCCCACAGGGCCCGAGCAAAGGGGAGGGGGGGCTAGGCTTAAGCTACCCCCCCCCTCCCTTGAGCCGCCTTTGTCGGAAGCCCCCCCCCCTCCCCCCTTTTGTTTGCAAGGGGGGGGGGGGCTTATCCCCCCCCCCCCTTGGGGCCCTGGGGCCTTAAGCTACCCCTCCCCCCTCCCCCTTTCCAGGGGGGGGGGTGCTTAAGCTACCCCCCCC